GTTCAAAAACACACACTAAACTTTTTTAAAAATGTTATTGTCATTTTTTTCCCAGCAAAATAATTGGAGATTTTATCATCGCACAGAACTTCCATGTTAGCCTTATAATAAAAATGTCATAGTAAGTCAAAGGGATTTTTATTTTTATTTTTTGTAAAGAGTTCGACAGTGCATGTAATAAAAAAATAATCGAGATTATATGATTTATGCGTGATCAGATATTTGAAAAATACTGAATTTTGCAATCTTTTTATCTCTCTCGATAGCACTTTTTTTAATCAATTAAAATCAGTCTATTGATCTCTTTTTTTGACATGAAAAACCTTCTTTGAAAAAAATAAATAAAATTCGGATCGATTGCCTTATTTTAAGGCTTGACATGTAAAACAAAAGATTTTCATTATGTAGACTCGTAAATTATCTGTTCGATATATACTTTGATCGATCAAGCAAGTAATAGCTTATAATAAATCGCAAATACATGATCGAGATAAGCACTTCTTAATGTTTACTATGATATTATCGATAGAAAATTTATTGATGATTTTATGAGTCTGAAAAAATTTTTCTATTTAATTTCGAAATGTTGATTATCATATCTTCGTATGTCATCCGAAGATATATTATTTAACGTATTGATTTGAACACCGAATCCTCGTATTATGAATCGATGCTGTTACCTATTTCAAATTGTAACATGCTCCACTTTTTATTAAATAAATTTTGATAGGAACATCATAGAAGCCTGTAGTTGTCATCATTCAAAAGATAAGACTCGAGGACATCGAAATTGAATGCGTTCAAACAGATGAGCCTTTAATGAGAATTTTCGACAATGGATATTCTGCAGCTATTTTCCTTTTGATTTAGACTTTTACTAGACTTAATCAATAGAAAAAATTCTTTTCTTTTGATCTATGCAAGGTCAGGATCCTAATATATTTCGTTCGAAAGTTATAAAACTTGTCTCGACATCCTTCTTCGATTTCAGATAAATCACCATGTTGTGTCGAATGGTGATATCTGTTTCTACGTTGGGGCTGATTTAACACTGATATCCCAATATTTTCGAAATATCGTTTCCTTTGTCACTTGGAGGCTGATTTTGGAATTCTAGAAACATTGAGATAACAGTTTCAGAGCATATCGATCCTAAATACAAATAACACCATTCGATTCACCATGTTGAATCACCTTTGCATAGCTGCTTTTCTTGGTGATCACAGTTTAAGTGACTGATATCTAGAGTCTCATGGAAAGTCTTGTACATCGCAGGTGGAACAAGCTAGAAATATCCATCTTTAGTGGATCGAAAGAGAAGAGTTTTTTTGTATCAGTTAGTTCTATTCAAAATCAAAATTGAAAGGAAAATATCTTCAGAATATCATTTTCAAAAGTCACCGTCAAGAACTCATCTGATTGAACCAATCATATTTCGGTGTCCCCGAGTGTTCTTTCTTGCATGATGAAAACCGTAGATCTCTACAATGTTCCTATCAAAAGTTATTCAAAAAAAATAATGTAGTACATTGTATTTTGAAATAGATAATTGTCAAAATGCTAAGGTACAAAACTTCAAGAACACTTTTATGAACTTACATTTATCGACGTCATCATGATATAATTGTTGTTTTGAATGGGGATCCGTAGGAATAGCAATTGCTAATCTCTGTACTGCATCATCAACGAATGAACTAGTATTTGAAGATATTGAATCATTGCGATGAACCATTGATGAACTAATCAATGTACCAATTGTTTTATATGGTGTTGATCTTTAAAAAGAAAAAGAACAAATATTATTTTGAAAAAAAATTTTAATTCATATTTTTTAATCTTTACTGATTTTGATTCATTGGTCGTGAATTCTGAATATCATTAATAATTTTTAATAAATTCTCAACTCCTGTTGATTTTGTTTCAATCGATCCTGTTGGTCGCATACTTGTTTGAACTAAACTTGCTAAAACTTCATTTTTCATCGGTGCTTTAACAATTGTTGCCGATTTTACATCTTGCTCTGTATCATTATCACTTGAATCGCTTGTTACACGAGTTCTTGCTTTAATTGAATTACGTGCTAAATCGGCACTCAATGGACGTGAATCATCCCATGTTGATTCACTTGTTTTTTTACTTAGTAATGGATTGTTTTGAAATAAAGCATTAATACCTGTTGTTGAGTCTTTTTTAGCTCCTATAGATGATGCTGTATATAAATAATCTTCACTTATTGGTGATTGTACATTTGAAATAGGTGTTGGTTGAGAAGTTTTTAAATTATTTGCAATTTGTTGATTAACTAAATTTTGAATACCAAAGGATGGCTTTTGTGTATTGTGTGCTCGAACAGCAGCTTCAATTGAGTCATCTTCAGTATCACTACTATTGATTTTCTCATTTGAATGTGTTATTGCAAATCCTTTTGTATTATTTAATGTTGAAAGTTTAGGAGGACTTGTTGATGCTATTATTGGTCTATAAGAACTCTTAATATGATGACCATCATCATCCGATTGTGATGATGATGTATCATCTGATGTATCAATTCTTTTTGCTTGTGTTACACTGGGTTCTTGTTTATGCATCGATGATTTACCATATGTCCAGGAAATTGAATTTGAATCGATTGATTCGGGTTGTGGTAATGCATGAACCAATGAATTAATTGTTACATTCTTTTTTGGTGATGCTATTTGTTCACCAGCAAGATTTTTATATATAGGTGTTTTTTCAGTTGATGTACTTGTTGATGTATTATCTACATCTCCATGTTGAAATGCAGCCGGTCCAGTACCAAATATTGATGGTGGTTGTTTTTGTGGAGCTGAGAAAATCGAAATTCAAAAATGAAAGACAAAAAAAAAGAAAAGAAAAGAAGCACTTACGTATAACAGGTTTATTCGTCGATTTTTCATCCGGTTGTAATGGAATGCTATGCACGAGACTTGATAATGTTTGATTACTTGGTTTTGATATATGTGTTCGTGATTCGTCAGCTTTTAATGGTATACTATTAATAAGACTTGATAGTGCTTGATTGTTTGGTTTTAATCCATTTGTTCTAGGTAAATCAGCTTGTAATGGATTGGTTTTAACAAGATCAGCTACAGAATGAGTTTCTTGTTTATTTTGATTTAGTGAAGGTGTTGTTCGATTTAACCATTGATTTGATGATCGTGGGATTTGTCTTGCTGAAGATCTTGAAAATTGATTTGTTTCACTTGATGTAGTATGTTCACTTTCATCATCATCATCATCATCATCATGAAAATGTCCTGCTGGATTTCTTATAACAGGATTAATTTCATGTTCATTTATTGAACCGGATATATTTTGTCGTGGTGAAAGTCTTGTCCAACCTTGTTGATATTCATCAATTAATTTTGCACATTCATCATGATGATTTTCTTTAGCTAATTGATATGCAGTTAATTGTCGTGCATCGAGTAATGTTGGATCACATGGTTCAGAAAGATTTGATTGAAGTATAACTTGAATGATGTCTGCATAGCCAAGACTAGCTGCCATATGTAATGGTGTTTGTCCATTTCTATTTGGTAAATTCGGATCAGCTTGTTGTTCATGTCTATCAGATAAAAGTATATCAACTATATTAGGACTATTTCTTTTAACAGCTAAATGTAATGGTGTCATTTGATCACGATCTCGAAAATTTGGATCACAATTTTGAAATGATACAAAAAGATCAACAAGTTCTTCATTACCATATTCAATTGAATAATGTAATGCATTTTTTCCATTGATATCCACAGCATTAATAACTATAGAAACAAAAAAAAAACAGAAAATATCATTTAATGAAAATAATAATGAATTCTTACAAGCATCAGCTCCTCCTTGTAATAAAACTACACATATTTGATAATATAATGGTTGATTGCGATTACCACTAAGAACAGCTTTAACTAAAGGTGTTCGTTGCTCTTTATCAACAATATTTAATCTTGCACCTTCATGAACAAGACGTTGTACTATACTTAAATGTCCTCTGACAACAGCCAAATGCAATGGAGTCTATATAGACAAACAACAAAATTAATAACTTGTACGATATGTCAAGAAAAAAAATGAAATTAAATTTACTCGAGCTTGTTGATCTTGCAAATCAATTTGATCTGGTCGAGCAAAACGCTCTACTTTATGTAGATCTCCTTCCCATGATGCTTTATGTAATTTATTTTTGTCAAGTTCTTTTGGGTTAATATGATATGATTCAACACTTTCAAGTGATACTGCAGCACGCATATTCGATGATGTGCCAGTTCGTTGACCACCTTCGTTGACTGATGTATGTGAACCACGTAATGATGAACGTTTTGATGAACCACTACCACTGAAAAATCGTGAAAAAATATTTGGCATTTTGTTATTTTCTTTGTCGAATTTGCGTATGTTGTTTTTTTAAGACATCTAAAACAAGTAATGGAATAAGTGAGCAACACAAACGAAAAATGAATCGATGTATACCGATCAAATAAAAAAAAATGGAATGAAGAATGAAAACACAAGAGGAAAAAATTTGAAATATGTTTAATTCTTCTCTAGTTACTTTGTGTAAATTAAAAGAATAACAACGTCACGCGCCCTAGGTCTATTTGATTAATCAACGAAACTTACGTAGATGTGCGCATAAGAATCACTTATTGATTTTCGTCTTTGTTTCACACGTCTATTTGTCCAATAATTCATTCTAACTGGAAATCTTGATTTAAACACATATATACAAATTCTCTTTTTTTTCAATTGGTGACCTTCTCTCAATTTTTTTTCTTTCTCTATCAGATTAAAATCGTGTGAGTGACGCAGCTGCACAACGGTTGCTCATGACAATCTTACAGAAAAGAGAACAAAAAAAAACAAGAAAGAAAAGGTAAGAGTGTGAGAACTCTTTTTACCTTTATCTTAGGGTATTGTATATATGTGAACTTCTTTCTTTTTCATTCTGGCATGTTTGTCATTGCTAGAGGACAAACAGCATGATGAATCCATCATCATCTTCATCGATGGCGCCATTATTCTCTGATTATCAACAACGAAGTACCAATTTACGTTCAAAAATCTTAAAAAATGAAGAACAACGTATGCAACTTGAACAAAAATTACGTTTAATGTCAAATAATAATTCACGTTCATATAAAAGCAAACAAATTCAACATATACAAACTTATTTTACACGTCTTAATCAAGAATCTCAACGAGCTGAACAACGTAATTTACAATTACTTAATAATTTAACACAAGCTCAACAACATTTAGATAAATTACATTTTGATGCTGAAAATTTAGTACGTTTAAAAAATGATTATTTAAATTATTTAGAATCACATTATCCAAATTGGCAAAAACCAACATTAACTCGAACAAGTACTAATATTAATAGTAGTAATGAATATGATCGTTTAGGTCAACATATGAAACAACATGATCCATTAGAAAGTGATGGAAATCTGCGACAAAGTGGTAAATAATAAAATATAATTATTTCTATACGAAAATCAAATCTTTGTCTTGTTTTGCTTTTAGCACCCATGGTTCGTCAATCTTATGATGTTGAATCCTCAATGTTATTTAAACGTTATGAAGATCAACTTAAAGTTGGTTTGGAACGTACAACATCTCCATCAACACCAATTTTAAATAATGAAATTAAAGATCAACAACAACAACAACAACAAGATGAACAATCAGTAACAGAATCAAATGAAATAGCTAATCCATTTTCACGTATAAAACGTAATGGTTCACTTCGAATGGAATTAACACGTACTGGTCTTTATTTTTTACTTGATTATATTGAAAATGAATTCAAAGATACAATAGATAAAAAAAAATTTTATCGTTTTGATCCACCAACAATAACACAAAAACGAACTATTATTGATATAGGTAATGATGAACAAAAATATTCATTAAAAGATATTGATCCAACAACAACATCAATGGTTATACTTGATCAATTACCATCAACAATACGTCGTACAACAATAAATAAATGTTTATTAACCGATGATATACTTTCATCAAATATAAAAGATTTAGATAAAGATATTATATCACAAATGTTACCTGAACAAGATCGTTCATTATGGTTAAGATTAATTGAACATTTTTCACAATTATTAAAATTACATATTATGAATTCACAAATATTAACTAATAAATTTGCAATAGCATTATTACCAACAAATGCTATTTATGCTCATGATAAAGCTAAAAGTCTTTTAAAACATGTTATTGAAAAATATGTTGGTACACACTCATCAAGTTCAGATGATGAAACATCAATTGATAGAAAACAACAACAACAACAACAACCTGTACAACAGATTATTCAAACAAATACAGCATCATCATCATCATCTGTATGGTTAAAAAAATTAGTAAAAGGTTCTATGTTGGATGATGATGATGAATCAACAACATCATCATCAATAACAAAAAAAAATAATCAATTATCGAGTTCAACAGCAACAACTGCAAAAGCAAAATTTCATAAAAATGATGATGATGATGATGGTGAATTTTTCGATTAGTTATGTAGTTCTTATAATCCTTTTTTTTTATATTTTTTAAACGGCGTATCTTATATTTAGAATTTCGGTAGATTGTTTTTCTTTTTTGTGACAAAAATTATAATCTAGGTGTTATTTTATCGACGAAATAAATTTTTTTTTATATTTTTTATTTGCTTACATATAAAGTAATCGAATATGTAAGGTTTCATTTATTTGTAGTATTTTTCTTATAAACACAACGACTTTTTCGATTGAATATGCTTCTATCAACGACAGAATCGAAATTCATAAAGCAACCAATGCAAATAAATTCTTGGGCTCTGTTTTGAGTACATAAATAGAATAAAATAAACAAGCACTGTTCGTTTTTTGATTTATGAGATTGAATATTTATAATCAATCATTATTATTATTCATCGAGGGTGTGTTATTGACAGTTCGAATCAATATAAGTTTTATATTTACTTCTTTTAATCTATGATAATTTGAATATCGTGCTATTGTATTACAAATCATTATACAAATTGAGCCTATTGCAATACTTGACATACACTTATAACTCATGACATAACCAGGGTGAACGTTGAGCTTCTTTTCCTCCACTGACTGAAGCCATTACACTAAAATAACATGTGTCGCATTTATCTGTCGCTAGTTACAGTGTCGTAGTCTATCTGTTAGTTATTAATTCATGATTTTAGTTTGTGCACACACTACATTCAATCGAACTTACCTATTTTCATATGTCTTTCCTTGTCTGGACTATTTCTCGATTAGTTATAGGTATCACTAATTCTAATTAAACTAGCTAGAAATGATTTGCGAATGTCTAGAAAAACATGGCAGATGTCCTGAAGATTGATTGAATTTGAATCAGAGCTGTCAGTAGACTAAATCAAGTCGATTGATGTTTCTGATTTTACGAATACGTTTAATCCTAGAACATGGCATTAATATATCACTCTAGTTTCAGTTCTTCACTTAATTTATTATCACAAACAATCCGATAATATAAAAATTTCTCATACAAGAAAGGCTTAAATTAACACAATCCTTTTGAACATATTAGTTCTGTTTCTCGAAATCGAAAAAATGCAACTATAATAGCACAAACTATATTTGATGAGGTCTACAAGAAAGAGTTTAAAAACAATTCACAACAAAAATATCAGAAATCAACGATACTTATAGTAACAGACAAGGAAATATCAATTTGACAATCAATTTTCGCAACACAGCACGAACTCAAAATTTACCATCCAATTGTTTTGTACTAAACAAGTTCTTCTGTTAATCGATGTATGTCAATGCGTCTCTGTTTGATTTCGAAAATATAAGAGCGAGGTAGACTTTATCGGTTTGGTCTCAAACTCGACCGCTTGTGAATCCCAAAATTTTGAATCCGACGAGTTCTAGTGTCAGACCAACAACTTTGGTCTGACAGACGCCTTTTCAGTCGGCAGTTCTGATTTGAACCACGTGTTTTCAGTACTCTATATTTTATTTTAGTATGCACGATAGTTAAATTCAGCTAGAAAACTCAGTCATTTAAGCTTCTCTTCCCTTACTGAAGAGCCCTGTCGTCTTATGTCATTGCTCATAAAGACTAAAAACAAATATTACTTATGATCATTTCGGAGTAGTGTAAGTTTTTATTTTATTTAGTTTCCAATACAATTTTCTTCAACATTTTAATTGTGAATAGTAATTGACGACATCTATGTACAAAATAATAGATTGCTTCATTATCTAACAAATAGAATAAAACAGAACAGAAAAAATAAAGAGTTCTTTCGATCGATTAGAAAAAAAAGATTTTCATCGTACAACAATGACTAAGTAAAGATAACGACATAAGAGTTGATCACCTTACATCAAATTTGTAAGTACTGTTTTTAAGAAAAATTTTTTTTTCTTACATATTAAATCGACAAAATATAGAAAATACGAAGAAGTAATTTCTTATTGCGATTCTACAATTTTTTTAATTATAGATGCATTAAGGAAAGCGTGTTCATTAAAAACATATAATATTCTTTTCCATTTTCTTTCTTTTAATTTGAATAGTGAGAATTATTTAAGTAGTTTTTCAAACTTATAGCTAATTCTTAATAATCATCATTCGCAATGTTTATCTCATTCAACTTGACTGATTTTCATTAATTATGATGAATTTCACTGGTTGTTTTTCTTGGTTGGTCAACTGTATGCACTTGTAATTTTCCTCGAACAATCACACAGTCAAAACATCATTAGTTGTTCCTTAGCTAGTTATCCTTTATATTATTAATCGTTCTCATGAGAATGCATTTAAGAATAAATTCACATTTCTCATGACATTTGAAACTAATAAAGAATTACGAATGTGAGTAAAATAGATACATTTTATTTTGTTAGTATCTATGAAATTGAATATAATATTAAATAAAAATCAAATAAAGCATTTCAATTATAAGAAATGATTTTTGTAAAATTGAACGTATTATATATATAATAGAAAAAAAAAACAGTTTTTATTAGAAAAATAAAATTCATCACAATATAAAATCATTTATTTGAATTCTATTCAAATTAAAAAAATCTCGATCAATTTCAAGTCTGTTTCAGATACTTCTATTTTCATTTCTATAGTCAAATATTTGTAATAGATATTATACTGTAATGATATCAAACATCTAAGAAAAAATTCAATTTTATTTTTAATTTAAATATTTATATCATTCTATTACATCAAATTAAAAAGAAAAAAAAATTATGTTAGATTTTATCATTATAATTATATGTATATTTCGATAAATAATATCGATAAATAATATCTATAAGAAAAAAATATGCGTTATAGCCAGTGTGATAAAATAAATGACGATTTCAATATTTCAACCATGACTATTTTTCATTTGCATTCTATCGAGGTAGTCTTTATTATCAGAGACTCTCCCTACTATGAATGTACAGTTTCGGTGAACAGTTTATTGAAACAACATATACCTATTTCCTACAAAATGATATATTTTATTTGACAAATATAATATTTTTGTTGGAAACTATAAGAAAAAAAGCTATTTTTAGAAAAGTTGCTATTGCTAAACCCAATACTTCTATTAAGTGTTAGAAAAATGTTAAAAGACAAAGAATAAAATCGATAGAATGAAAACTAATAAGAAATCATCGCTAAAATAGTTATGATTTAGTTTATAAATACAAGTGTAATCAGTAGCGAAACTTCATTTTTTAAATTTATTATGAAAAACTTTTTTTGAATTTAACAATACTGATAGATGCACAAAACAATATCTTATTTATTTATTTATTCATGTTTCATACTCTTCAGCTTTTTTGATTATAGACTAGTTAAAGTTTAAAGAATTTCGAATTAGTCCGGTCGATTTATTCAGGATTAAATTGTGTATTCTTTTCATTTCAATATAAAAGCTTTGCATGTGTACTAAAACCTACAACGATAGCGTTGTTTTTTTTGTTCCTAAAACTACCAAAATACTGGTTCAACTGCGGATTATGAGCGCATATTTTTATTAAGAACAACTAGTGAACTTATCAACTACCTGAATCAATAGAATACAAAATTTTCTACAGATACTAGAAGGATAAAAGTTTATAGCAACTGTATTTTCAAGTTTTATTCTCGACAGTTATAGCCAGGAAGAATCTGAGAATACATTTGTGTAATTAAAAGCATTTTCTATCACGATTGACAGGTTCGAAAACATGAACAAAACTGCTCTGATGATGCTCTTCGGATAACTAAACTAAGATTTTTGACTTTTTCTTGAAGGTTTTGAGAAAAGATTTTTATTTGATAAAGTAAATAATTCTGAGCAAAATGAGACATCTCTCTAAGACTTTCCTTCATTGGACTGCCTTTAATTTACAGAATGCTCCAAATCGTCAAACATTGCAGAAGTATTGCAATCTTCAAACAGAAGAAGGCAAGAATGTATCTTGGATTTTTTGTAAATTCAATGCAGTTCGATGAAAGAGCGTTATGGAAACATTTGATTTCGCTCAGAATCATTTGCTTTATCAAATAAAACGTTTTTATAAAAGCTTCGAATGGATGTCAAAAGTGCAATTTCAGTTTTCTGAATATCCTCATTCAATCAGTTTTATTCAAGCCTTCGAGCCTATCAATCTAGATAGAGAACCTTTTCAGATACACAAAAATTTTTCAAATGCTTGTTAGCTATTACTATCAAAAAGATAGGTGAAGAATACAGCTACTGTAAACATATGTTCACCATTATAGTCGTATACAAATGTCGAATATATTGATTCGATGTGGTAAATATTAAAGCGTTGATGAAAAAGAAATGCCGCAATTTTGAATATTGTTCCAATGATAATTGAGCTCTGCATATTTCAAATAGTAGATTTTGTAAAAAATTAAAATTTTCTATCGAATGAGTCTTTTCTTATATTTCTATCGATTACATCAGACAGCAAAAAAAGCTGATTACGAAATTGGCTCATTATTTCTATGCTACTCGCTAAATATACAAGTTTATAGAATATTAGACTTGATATTTTTTTTATAAAGGTCAAATGAAAGTTGTATAAAAAAATATTTTCTTTTTAATAAATATAGATTCCTATATAGACGAAATGTTAATGAATACATTCATGATTATATTCTTTGCCATTATGATTTTTGTCATAAGGTTGTTAAGCATAATTTTCTTATGACTTTTGTCAAGCTACACAAAAATATCAAGTTCTATCTATTATTTTAACATGCATTTTTCATCCTATACATATGTACGAAGTGATGCATAAGTCAAATTATAACTCGAGGTTATTATTTTAAGTATATTGTGTATAAATATTTATCAAAGATCTCTTATTCAAAAGTAAGAATATGTTCATTTATTTTTTTTTTGAATCTTAATGTTTATTTGCTCTCGTGGTAGCTTTGTTAGGAAAAAAAAAGTAGTGTTCTGTATTAATTAATATTCACACTTCCATACTACTCATTGAGTATTTGCATCATACTGTTTCTTTTT